CTGTTCGAGCATCCGCTGTACCGGGTCGCCGTGCCCCCGCTGACCGAGGACGACGTCCTCTTCAACGTGAACAGCGACATCAGGTTCAACCCCAAGGCGGCGGCGGAGAACCCCAACTGGTGAGCGGGTCCAGGGCCCGGGGTGGACGCCGGCAGGCCCGGCCCCTCAGGCAGCCACACACCCTTTGAGAATAAAGACCCACCCGTGTGCCTTCCCCCCAGAAAAGGCCCTTTCGTGCCCCGGGCACTGTGAACGGAGACCCACGGCCGGAAGGGGAGCTGGTGGGCCCCCACCCGCCACCCCTGCCTCTTGTGCCTGCGGCCTTTGTCTCGGAAAGGGCTGCATCCCTGAGAGGTGCAGGTGTGGAGCTGCTCCTGAGTCAGCCGCCCAGGCCTCTGGGCAGGGGAGCCAGGGAGGGTCCTGCCAGGCCCTGGTCCCGGGCTTGGGCAGTGGGGTCAGGCCATGAATGAATGAATGAGCTGCGGGTGGAGTGAGCATGAGCCCAGGGAGTGAGGGAGAGCCCGCCCTGCCCCTGCCTGGGAGCCAAGCCTGCTCTGTGCGAACCTGTCACTGAGGACCCCTTAGCCGAGGGGTGTGCGGGCTCCAAAGGGCTAAGGAAGGGCTCTCCCAGCCGCTGTGCCAGTGCCAGCCGCGTGGGGCGGCCGGGGTGACAGCTTCACGGGGAGAAGCATCTCTTTAAACTGTCCTGGTCTAAACCCTCCCCCCAAGGCCCTCCTCAGCTACAAAGAGCAAGCTGAGCAGATGCTGGGAGCAGGGTAGTGGAATATTAACCAGCAGTGAGGCCGGAATAAACAGCTACCTGGGGAGGTGACCCAAGCCTCGGGACGGCCAGGAGCCCAGACCTCAAGCCCAGACCTCTCCAAAGAGCCTTCTCCTTGGAAACTAGGCCGTGTGCTGAGTCTGAACGCCCCACCATGCATGCCGGGGGGTCTTCGGAGGAGAGAGCCCAGAGCCAGTGGTCAGGGGGTAGCCCCACCCTTCTGTCCACTGTGGTGGGGACTTGGGGCCGGGAAGGCCACATGCAGGTGAATTAGACCTGGGACAAGTCCACCTTCCCCCCCAGCCCAGCAGGAAGTGGGGTCCGCTCTCCCCAGGCGTGTGAGGACAGCCTCGTGGGTGGCAGGTCCTGCCTCCTTCCTCTCTCCCCACCCACGACTGCCCTCGTTAAAATTAAATTTAGTCGGTTGCATCAGCCTTACCCCTGGTTGCTGGAGCCAGAGCAGAGTTCCCAGGGAAAGTTTCTGACAGGCTGGGCGTGTCAGACTTGCACATAGTCTGTGGTCAACAATGAGCTCGGTCCCCCCCCCCCCCCCCCCCCTTGCACCCCAAGCTGACGTCATGCTGTCTGGCGGCCTTGGTGACCCCAGGACAGACATGCTGGGGCCTCGCGCTGAGCTCCTGGGTGCTCCTGCTTCAGTTACAGCTGTCTGGGGCTCGGGGGTAGGTAGGAATTACGGCCTCTAGAGATGTGATTAGTCGTTAGAGCAGCAGCCACAGGAAAACACAGACCTGGCACGGCCCGTTGGCACAGAAGCTGCGCTGGTTCAGACCCAAAGTTAAAACCTCGGCGGCAGCGGCCGACCCCCCCCCCCCTTCTCCATCCGCTCCCTGCTGACTAGGGTCCCTTCATCTCCATAGGCCGCACGACGGCCCCGACGGCCCCGAGGGCGAGGACTTCGCACCCACGGGGGAGGCGGCCGTGGACAGCTACCCCAACTGGCTCAAGTTCCACATCGGCATCAACCGGTACGAGCTGTACTCCCGGGACAGCCCTGCGGTCGATGCCCTGCTGCAGGACCTGGGCGCCCAGAAGATAACCAGTGTGGGTAGGTGCCTCGCTGCACGTGCTACGGCACGTGACTGGCTTGCGACGGGGCCTGGGGGCCGGTGCCCCGGCTGGAGCATCCCCACCTGACGCCCGCAGGCCCGGAGGAGGGGACAGGTGGTGTCAGGCCACGTGCAGTTGAGGGGATGTGCACTCAGCTCTTCCCCAGCTGAGGAGGGCGCAGCTCCCGCCACCAGCAAAGAAGGGACACCTCAGGGCTGCGCCCCTTCCTCCACGTGGGGGGCTCAGGGGAGCATCCAGCGCCGCCTGGGTTGGGCCGCACCCAAGCTTAGCCGGGGCTCTGCCCTTCCGTATGGACGGCAACCCAGGCTCCGTTGTGCATGTGCAGGCCCACACTCAGTGGTTGGCAGGCAGCCTTCCTGAGCACCTTGGGATCTGCTGAATCGGACAGAAAGGGCAGCGGTTACTGGTTCTGGGAAAGCGTGTCAGCAGTGGTTTCTGCCGGGCGTGGAGGTCTGAGCCTTTGATCTCGGGCCTCAGGAAGGCCCCAGTGTCTGCAGTGGCTGGAGACGCAGGGGGCTGGGCAGATCCCTGGGCGGGAGCACCGTTCCTGGCAGGTGCCCGCCTAGTGGGCTGTGAGTGAGGTCTCCACACTGTGCACAGGGCAGCAGTCCTGGTGCTGGACGGGCGCCAGCCGCCGGGGGCTGTCCTGGTGCTGACAGGGCAGTTAGGTGCGGCCTCTGAGACAGGCAGGTGAGCTCCAAGTTCTCCAGAGTCTGCTCTGGGCTCTCTGCCCGGCCTGAGCTGCTTGCTGGGGGGAGGCAGACGGGCGGCTCCTCCCAGCACGAGACGCTCACCCTGGAGCAAGCGGTGGTCTCCTCACCTAGCGTGCTGCCTGGAGGAACCCGAGAGCCACTCCCGTGCCCAGCGCCGCCCCGCCTCCCTGCTGACCCCGCCAGGGTCAGGGCTCGGGCCTTGCTGGGCAGCAGTGAACGGCAGGGATTGTCAGGCAGAGCCACTGCCGGGTGCCCCTTCCCTCTGAGAGGAGTGTGGCTGCTGGGGAGACGTCCGGTGTCTTGCCACCTCCTCCATCGACGCAGCAGACTTTTGTGGGCACCGCCTGCATTTGGGCCCGTCCTGGTGGCAGGCAGTTGAGGATGAATCCATCCTCGAAGTGCTTCTGCTGCCTCCTGACCTGAGAGTCCCAGGGAGACAGGAAGGACGCACGCGGACCAGGAGCAGATGCTTTAAGCGCCACATAGACCCAGGCCAGGTGTGTCGGGGAGACAACCCCACCTGGAAGGAGGGTCTTCCCGGAGTGTGGGCTCAGCAGGAAGGGCAGGGTGGGCAGGGCTTCAGGAAATGGGAACATTTTAGGGGTTCCTGCTGAGAGAGACTGCCTGCTGCTGCCGTGCGCACATCCCTCCGCCAGTTTCCCCACTTGTCCAGTGGGCTCGTGTCTCTCAGGAAGGTTGCATCTTATTCTAATAATATGGTGAGCGTGACAAGCCTGTAAAATATTAACTGGTGCTCGGCATCTGGGCTTCCATGCCCCACCCCCACCTTGTCTAGGGCAAATGCAGGGTCAGGGTCAGGGACAGGGTCAGGGACAGGGTCAGGGTCAGGGACAGGGACAGGGTCAGGGTCAGGGTCAGGGACAGGGTCAGGGTCAGGGACAGGGCTGTGCAGAGCCTGGGCCATCTCCCCTCAGAGAGCAGACGCCTCCCAGCCCTCACGGGACACGCTTGGTGCCGAGGGCAGGGCTCCAGAGCCCGGGGCAGCTGCGGTGGGGAGGGGGCAGCTGCGGTGGGGAGGGGGGGGCACCCAGGCAGCTTTGCTGACCCTGGGCACCCTCCTCCTCCCATCCCCGTAGGGGCCTGGCCTTAGGGAGCCCCACCCCAGGGTTCTGGCTGAGGGTGCCCTGGGGAGAGTCCCTGCCCGATTGTCAGGGTCCTGGGCTGTCTGAGCTGACTACACGGACCAGCCGGTCCTCCCTGTCTGTCCTGGGGCAGTGGGTTCGTCGGAGCGAGGGCTGGTCGGTCAGGGTCACTCTGCGTGCCAGTTGGGCCATAGGTATCACCGATGGGACCGGGTGCCCTGCCCCCGGCAGAACATGGGCCTGGTTCTGCCAGTCGCCAGCCAGAGTGGCTTTGGGCACACGGACGAACCTCTCGTGCTCACGGAGACGCTGGGTGGTGATAAGCTGGACCTAACCTCCAGCTTGCGGATCTGAAATCCAAACAGCCCATTTGACAGCAAAGGCCTGGCTCAGCCTGAACGTGTGGGCTCAGCCTGACCGATGAGCCTGCATGATCCCTGTTGTCTCCCTCGCAGTGGAGTCAGGGTGCTTCCTCGGCTCTGCCCAGACCCAGGCAGCGAACACGCACACGCAGCGAGCGTGACGCAGACACCGCCTCACTGCGGTCGTCCGAAATTTCCGAAATCCCCGAACATGAACACGTCTGCCTGCAACTGTGAAGGACATGAACCCACGGAACGTACGTCACGGGGTCATCGCGGGCTCATGAGTAACGGAGAGCTGAGAACAGCTGGGCCCAGTCCCCGCGGGGTGGGTTTCTGTGGCGTGATCTCCGTGGGGGCCCGAGCCCCTCACCCCAGGCGCCATGGGGAAGGGCCTCAGCCAGGAACTTGCCCCGTCGCGCTGCCTGGGCCTGGAGACGCTCCCGGGCGAGTTCCTGTGTGTGAAAAGCCCCCTGTGCCTGAGGAAGCAGGAGCCCTCCCCCTGTGAGCAGAGTGAGCAGCATCCAGGGGCCCAGGAGACCAGGGTCCAGGCCGGGCCGCCTCTGCAGGGAGTGGAGAGGACTGGCCAGGGCCGAAGGCAGGTGTCTCCTGTGACCCCACCCTTCCTGGGAGGTGTCGCCCCCACGTCCACTGGACATTTGGTTGAAAACCCAGCTGCTTGAGACAAGCCCTGGCTGGGCCCTCACCTAGCAGGTCCTGCTGGGCAGGTGTGGAGACTGGGGTCCCCGGATGCGAGGGTGTCCAGGTGGGAGCTGCCTGCTGCTGGGGGCCCACCCGGCGTTGCTGTGGCCGAGGGGGCTGCGGCTTCAAGGCCCCCTGGGGACCCTGGTTGACACCCCCTTTACGGGAGCCGAGCCCGCCAGGATTCAAGGTTTAGCATCCCCGTCCTCCTGAGCATGAAATGGAAGGAAAGGAAGACAGAAGTCTCAGGCACCGCAGTGAGGGCATAAAAAAGACCCTCGATTTACAGAGCCAGAAACCCAGCCTTCTGGCTGCCACCCTTCAGGTAGGGAAACTGAGGCCTCCGGGAGGTTGGGGGGAGGCGGGCCTGAGGCTAGGACATCCCTGTGCTCCACTCAGGAGTCTGCCCTCAGCCATCGACCCCGGGCAGTCACTTTGATCATCCGTTGTTCACATTATTACACCTGGACCCGGGGTGTTGTTTGGGGGAGTGTGATTCCTGTGACGTTCGAGATGCTTTCTCACTGGATGGTCCCCAAAGTCGCCAGCTGAGAGCCACTGACCGCTTCATAAGCGCGTGTGGCCAGTAGGGCTGTGTTCGTGGCCAGGCTCCCGGCTCCCGGCAGCGTGGCCGCCTTCGAAGGCTCAAGAGGTCATCTCTGTGCAGCTTGGACTTGGGCGTGCAGCACCTCCCGTCAGCACAAATGAAATCGCCGTCCTGCACGGTCATGGATGCGAAGAATCAAGGACACAGTTAATGGCTCTGCTCTTGGGATGACTTACAAAGGAGAAGCCGCGTGGCCGGAGAGGACTCGAGCAGCCTCTTGCCGGAAATGCCGACGGGTCAGGACAAACCCTCGCTGGTCCCTGAACCAAGGAGAACAGGTGCCCCCCCCTCCGGGCCCTCGTGGAGGCAGCGGAGTCCAGGGCTGACTGGCTGGCGGAACAAAGGCTGGGCCTGGGGCCCTCAGCTGCTGCCCTGGGTGCCGGGGCCATGGTTGCCCTGCCTCCTCCCAGCACCACGAAGGCACAGGGCGCCTCCTCCCCAGTGCAAGGCGGTTGTGAGTCCCAGTGTCTGGGGCCTAGAAGCGGAGAACGGAAAATGCCCAATGAGCCAGACCCCCCAGGCCCAGCGCTGAGGGGCCGTAGGTCATCCACCAGCCGAACGTGGAGAAAGCAGCAACTAGCGGAGCCCCCTCAGCGCTCCTCCAGCCTCTGGTCCAAGGTCAAGAACAAATGCCCAGCCTGGCCAGCGTGGCTTAGGAGTTGAGCATTGATCTATGAACCAGGAGGTCATAGCTCGATTCCTGGTCAGGGCTCATGCCCAGGTTGTGGGCTCGATCCCCAGTGGGAGGTGTGCAGGAGGCAGCCGATCCATGATTCTCTCTCATTGATGTTTCTGTCTCTCCCTCTCCCTTCCTCTCTGAAATCAATGCAAATCTATTTAAAACAACAACAACAAAAGAACAAAAGCCCTGGCGCTGACGGCGTCCCTGCCCCGCACCTGCTCGCTCCGTTTAGCACAGACGGCAGCTGTGGCCCCGAACCCAGCGGGTGTGTGTTCCAGTTGTTCCTCAGATCCACCCAGCAGTGCTCTCAGTTCCCTTTAAGTAAAAAGTTCTCAGAACCACAGGGAGCATCTTCCAGAAAAGTGGGCGCCCGGCCGGCAGCGATTTCGGCTCCGCCTCCCGAGGGCACCGGGTGGCGGCCTGAAGTCGGCAGCACTGGCGGGTCCAGGTGGGTTAGTGGTCACGGGCGTCTCGGTGCCGATGAACCATGAAGTGCAAAGCATCATGGAGACCTATGAACGCATATTAACATGTACCATTAACGATGCGTGTTGTTGATGACCATCAATCAATGTTAATTACCAACATGTTACACTCGGTTGGGGATGTGACTTGAGGGTTACCAGGGTTGACTGAGCTGGACAAAGGGTCGTGGCCGGAGGACTGGAGAGCAGGGTGCCCACAGGGGCACCGCGAGGGAGTGGCCGTGGGTGGGTGTGGAAGAGCTGGCCTGGATGCCCGGGTGCCCTGCGTGCTGGCGACTGGGTGGAGGCTGGGGAGATGGAGAGCAGGTGGCAGATGATGAGGGACGTGGTCAGCGAGAGCAACTCCTGGGGCCGTGGCCGCGGGATGTGCCTGGCTTGCCGCCCGTGGGACACTTCTTGGGTCCCTCCCCAGGGCTGAGGTTGCTGTCCACCAGGGCCCCTGGAGCCCGACCAGGTGAGGCCCCTGGCAGCTCCGCCCAAAGCCTTTGCCTGCACACCTGGCGCCCCCTCGCATTGGCCTCTGCTCTCCTGGGACAAGGTTGCCTGAAGTCGCCAACCTCGGTCTGTCTATGAGAAGAAACCCCAAACCACCCCCTCCTCCTCACGGCCGGTCTGTGTCCAGCTCCGCTGCTGTGGCCCTCGGCCCGGCCACCTCCCGGGGCCCATCCTGCCAGGGAGAGCGGGCTGCCCATCTGGGCACAGACTCCTGGGCACCTGCCTCTCCCCAGCAGGCCTTTGCCAGGACTAGCATGGCCACGTGAGAGGTGGATGCCATGGGAAGGCACAGCCCCCAGAGGAGAGAAAGGTGGTGCCCATGACCGGGTGATGGCTGGTGTTTCTGGAGTCCTTAGTGGAGTTGAACGCCTTTCAATTTCTAACTAGTGTCCTGGTGCACGGATTCGTGCACATTGAAAGGAAATTAATTAGAAGAAATATTTTAATATCATTATTCGCCCTTTCTCTATAAAAGAAGTGTCAACCAAATTCACAATCAACAATGACAGATCGAAACACACGCATGCGATTAGCGCCAGTGAGAGCTTTATATGTATTGCGCATGCGCGAGTCAACTTAGCCTTTTATGTGTGTGTATATATGTATGTGTATATATAGTTATGTACATGTATGTGCGTGTGTATGGTATGTGTGTGCATACTGTCACATATGTTTTCCTAGTCCACCACTTGGCTATTTATTTGCTTAATTGTATCTTTTGCTGAATAGCAGTTTTTGATTTTGTTGAAGTTCAAGTTTTTAATTTATTTTGGTTAGTACCTTTTGTATATTAAGAAATCGTTGCTTACCCCAAAGCAGCCCCTCCCCCTGCCTGCCTGGCCCAATGGGCCCCATCGGGGCGGGCTGGCCAGACCCTACCTGTGCACGGATTCATGCACCGGGCCTTTAGTACAGAATAAACTTGCTTAATTATACCTGCTTTCTGATGTAGCTAAACTTTTTCCAGCCCAGTGAAGCACCCCAACTTCTCCTTCAGGTAATTGTCAGCAACACAGCAGTAAACATCAACACAAAGCAGATTATTATTGTAGATCACGCAGGGAGAACCAAGGGTAAAATATTTAACTGCAGCCGTGTCTGACTATATTCTGTGCAGTGAGAAAACCTGAAGTCATTGTCAAGGTCCACCATTTCTTACTTCTGTTCAGTCGGGTCAAGTTTCTAAGCTTTCTAAATCTCCGCTTTCTGGCTAATGCAAAGAAAATAGGATTCCACTGCGTCTCCTATCTGCCTACTCCAGGACTTCTGTGAGGATCAAATGGGAAAACGCTTCACAAACATTTGGTTAAATTGTGAAATGTCTGCACCTGGCTATAGAGCAAGTCGTGTTCCTGGGCTAAAGAAACGGCAAGGAGGCTAGTCGCCAGGGAGAGGAGGCTGGGCGTTGCTATGTGACGTCATTACCTGGCGCCCACAGCGACCGTTTCCGGGCTGGGCTGGGCTGGGGGCTGCATTTTGCACCATGGGGTCTTGGCAGTGTCGGCTGCGATTTGGTGAGGTGTCGCCCCGGGGTGGTGGTGGGGCCTGTGTCCCACTTGGGGGAAGCTGAGTGTTGGTTTGTCGGCACCAGGTCTGTGGTGCTGTTTGTTTTTAAATGGCCAGTGCGCATCGTGGCAGCTCCTGTGTTGAATGTCTGCCCCTGGTGGTCAGTGTGCATCATAGCTACCGGTCGGACAGACACTTAGCCTTTTATGTATATGGATTACTTGTTTGCTCTGTGGGGAGCAGCAGTGTGTGTGGATTTGCTTCCAGAGCAAGAGGGATTAAGCCGGCCAGGTTTGCATAATATTTTGTTATTAAGAGAAGCCAGGGTCCCCAGCCCTGGGAAGAGCGGTGGGCTGCCTCTGACTGGCCGGAGGGGGCGTGGGGTGGGGAGTTAAACCCAGTGGCCCCCGCTGTTCCATGGAAATGGGGACGTCCTGTGGGGCAGCATCGGGCCCCTCAGTGTTTCAGGAGCCACTGCTGTTCTCATCTTGTTAAAGACGCCGAGATTGTTCGTGATGAGAGGAGAGAAAATTAAACTCACCTGCAGCTCTCGGGAGAGAACCACCGTCCGCCCAGCAGGGCCGAGCTAATAATCAAGTCACGGCGGCTTCCGCGTCCTTCACGCTCGGCATGTCGGAGGCCGCGTGGCACTCTGTCCCTCGAGTGTCTCCAGTGTTTCGCAGGGAAGTGGCTTTGTGTCCCCGAGGAGCGTGCACAGGAATCGTGGAGCCTGAGAGCTCTCGGTCCTCAGACACAGCCCGGCTGTGGCCGGAGCAGACGCCGCGTTGGGAGGAGTTGGCCGGTGGGGGCGGAACCTGGAGGCAGGGCCTGGGCTTGGTGCTCAGGGGCCATGGGCCACCGACAACCTCAGGGAGGTAACTCGCTCCCCGTGGCAACCTGCCGTTCGGGGGGTGCCCCGTCGGTGCTCTCCTGAGGCGTCACGGCGTCACTCCTTCGTGGGGCTGCTGTCCGAGGAGGTGGGCGGGTCTCGTCCCCGTGTCCCAGGTGAGTGGCGCCTGCGCCAACAGGGCAAATACGCTCCCTGGCTGTTTGGACCCCCAGACCCCCTTGGAGGAGGCTGGGTGGCACCCTGAGCCCCGCTTACCGAAAGGGGACCCTGAGGCTAGAAGCGTGAGCGCCTAGGGGCCCAGCCGTAGTGGGCTGAGCGAGCCTCCAGGCTCAGGGCTGCTGGTGGGGGCCAGCTCCTCAGCCCGGATGGAGCCCTCTGGGTGCAGGGAACGGGAGGAACTCACCAGGTTCCTCCTTCCTTACGAACAAAGCAGCTGCAGCCGGCCGGTCAGGGGCAGCTTCTATGCGCGCTCACACCAAGAGGCCTCGTGCCCATTAGGGACGCCCGTGCTGCATTAACACACGTTAACACCAGCAGGTTCCACGAGGGTGCGCCACGCAGCACCCATGGCGTGCACGCTTAGGGCAGGGCCTTCCCTGGTGACACTGCTGTCCTCGCCTGCACGTGTGCCCCTGGAGCCCCGGGGTCTCTGGTCAGGGCCCCACAGCAAAGCCCTCCAGCAGCGCAGCCTCCTGCACGGCGACGCCCTCCCGCCTCAGCCCTGGTGTGTTCACAGGTCGTGTCCACCCTCCCAGGCCCTGCAGGCCCTCCCTGACCAGCAATGGCCTCAGGTCCTCGGTCCTCCACACTCTGCCCTCGGCGGCCGCTTTCCCTCGTCTGTGCGGACGATCCCCACGTGTGGCCACACGCTGGCCGCCTCAGGCCAGCTCCTGGGTCTGTCCTGGGGCAGCCAGGCTCACCTGGCCCGACCTTCACCTCCAGGCTGTTCCTCCTCCATCCAGCTGCTCCAGCCGAAACCTCGGGGTCACCCTCGTCTCTTCTCTCCCCTCCGTACCCCAAAACCCCCTCCAAATGGCTCCTCCATCCCAGATATTTCTTGAATTTTCCCATTTTCTCCATCTCTTTCCTCTTCTCCTCCAGCCACCCTCCCCCCCTCCACTGGCCTCCACCCTTCAGCCCTGTAGTCAGCTCCCCACACGGAGGGGACAGCACCCACCTGCTCCCATCCCCTCCTGCCCTGGGACCAGTGGCCACCAGAGCCCACCAGGTGCTGCAATGTGCCCGCTCTCTCCTCCTCTCCTGCCCGGGCCTTCCTGACCACCCCTGCTCTGTGGGGGCAGCTTCAGCGCCACCCAGAGCGGCCTCTGCCGGCTCCTCCGGGCGTGGACCTCTCCACCACAGCCCGAAGCCTCTGGGTGCTTGTGGTTTACGGGTGTCCCACCCAGTGGAACGTGGACCCTGGTGGGGACACCTTGCCTCACTTCACCCCTGTGACATCACCCTATCTTGGGTGGCCTGGGCCGCCCTGTGCGGGTGACAGGGCTGGTCGGCCAGCTCACCTCCTGTGTGTGTGTGTAGCTGTGTGTGTAGCTCTGAGTGTAACTGTGTGTGTAGCTGTGTGTATAACTGTGTGTGTGTGTAGCTGTGTGTGTATAGCTCTGTGTGTGTGTAGCTGTGTGTGTAGCTCTGAGTGTAACTGCGTGTGTAGCTGTGTGTGTATAGCTCTCTCTGTGTGTGTAGCTGTGTCTGTGTGTGAGTAGGTGTGTCCAGGTGTCCAGGTGTGAGGGGTGTGTCTGGGGCGGGAGGCACTGCTGGGTGTGTGCACCCAGCTGTTCCAGAAGCCGGTCCCTTTGTCTCGGGTTGGCCTGGGGATTCTGAGATTCTGCCCCAACCTCTGAATGGGGAGGAGGGCGTGTCGGCATCCTTGTGAGGAACCCCAAACTTCCCAGGCAGAATGGGGGCCCTTGGCCATGCCAGCGCCCAGGCTGTGAGGTCTGCGTGGAGAGCAGAGGGTCGGGCAGCGGGTGACCCTGTGTCTTTGCCTCCCTGCAGCCATGAAGTCGGGGGGCACTCAGCTCAAGCTCATCATGACGTTCCAGAACTACGGGCAGGCCCTGTTCAAGCCTATGAAGTAAGTGCGGGCGCCGGCGCAATGGGGTGCAGGCGGGAGGGGGCAGGAGGTGCGAAGCGGGTGTGGAGAGGGTGCGGAGGGGGGCTGGGTTGGGCTGGCGCTGCCCACAGGCACCAGGTTTGGTGGAAGGTGCAGTGTGTCCTCCAGTAGTGTTTTGGGGTGAACTCGGCGACTGCTCCCGGCTTTCTCCCCGCTGCCTGCTGCCCCACCCTCATCCCTGTTACCCAGCGGGAAACCCACTGCTGCTCCGTCTGCCCCTTGGAGGGAGGACCCCGCCCCCGCACGGCTCAGGGTCAGCAGTCTCCTGTAGGGCCAGGGTGGGTGTGTCAGGGTCTGCAGGCCATGTGGCCTGTGTCCCAGCTGCTCAGCGCTGCCCCGCCCCAAAGCAGCCAGATAAGGGGACAGGCCTGGCTGTGCACCAGCAGCGTTTCCGCTGTAACCCTGTGGGCGTGGCTTGTCCTGCTGCAGGAAACATGAAAGCTGCCACCAAGTAAACGTGAGGCACCGAATGGCCATGCAGACCCTGTGGCCGCCCCAAGGGAATCCATTAAACGATTAAATCCATGACCAATCGTCTCTTTAATGGAAAACGTCCTTCTGTGACCTGATCCTCTTTGTAAACTGCTGGCAGAATACTCTGAACTGATTGGATGAGGAGGGTGGAGCCTGGGGTCCTGGGACGTGTAGTTTGTGTGACGTGTGGCTGCCGTAAAAGCTTAAGGGATATATATACACGAGGAGTGAGGATATTTTTCCATTGTTTTTTTTTAAAAAGTAGAAGGGAGCAGGGACAGAGAGAAACATCGCTGTGAGAGAGTCACATTGACTGTTTGCCTCCCACATGCACCCCAACTGGGGGGCGGGGACTGGCCCTGCAACCCAGGTACGTGCCCTTGACCGGGAATCAAACCCAAGACCCTCTGGTGCTCCAACCCCTGAGCCATGCTGACCGGGGTGGATCAGATATTTTTAATAGGCATTTAAAAGCATATAATTAACACATTAGCCCAGGAGTTCCTGGATATTCAAGCAAGATTTTTAACAGCTTTATCAAGATACTAGGGGCCCAGTGCACAAATTCGTGCACCTTGAAGGGAATTGTGGGCTGCAAGGCTGCAGTGGGCACAGTGGCGGGTCTCAGCCCATCGGCCCCCAGTCCCCTGTCTGCCGTCAGCCCTGCTCCCGCCGCCGCTGCTCCCATGGGCTGACAGCATCGGCCCCGCTCGCACCCACTGACCATGCAGAGCGATTGGGGCTGGCGCCAGCAGCAGGTGCGAGTGGGGCCAGAGCCATCAGCCGGTGTGAGCAGCGGCTGCTGCCCTGATCACCCCTCAGGAGCTATTGGGGCTGGCAGCTGCCGCTCATACCCCGTAATGGCTCCAAGTGATCAGGACCAGCACTGGGCACCAGCAGCAGGTACGAGTAGCGACTCCAGTGCCAGCAGCGGGTGCAAATGGGGCAGGCGCCAGCAGCAGGTGTGAGCACTGGGTGGGACCATGGTATGCGGAAGAAAAGAATTTTCAGTAACCACCAGAGGCTCACCTCAATGACAGCAACCGGTGCCCCACCTTGGTCTGGCGCCCCCACTCACCTGCTCCACCATCCAGCTGTTCCGCACTCTATCACCTGCTGCTGAAGCCCGCCATGTTCTGCGTGTGCCCCCGCCGTATTCACGTGTGCCCCCTGGTGGTCAGTGCACGTTATAGCAACCACTTGTTCGGTTGTTCCGCCGTCCAGTCTATTTGCACATTAGGGTTTTATAGATATAGAAAATTCACACATCACCTTCGTCACCATGTGAAGTCCGCAGTTCTGTGCTGTCAGTGTGCGCGCCGAATTGCGTGTCCGCCACCAGGATCAGTTCCAGTATATAGAAAATTCACACATCACCTTCGTCACCCATGGGAAGTCCGTAGTTCTGTGCTGTCAGTGTTTGCGCCGAATTGCGTGTCCGCCACCAGGATCAGTTCCAGGACCCGCCCGTTACTGCGGAGAGAGGCTGTGAACCCTAAGTCCTCACTCACTCAGGTTCTGAGTAAAATGTTGAGCAAAATGACGCGTAAGGAAGCCCCTCGCTGCAGGCTGTGGTGTGAACAGGAGTTAGTTCCTAGGGCAGCTCATCCGCGTGACGAGGGAGGTCGTAGCAAAGCGTTGTGAGGGGCCCCGTGCACAGGTTGCTGCCCCCCACTTCTCCTTGCCCTCCTCTGCCGGACGACCGCTGGCCCCCGACCGTCTCCATGTGTCTACATGTTGTGGGGCTTTCGAATGAATCGAATCACGAAATGCTGCTTTCTAGTGGCTTCTCTCCCTCAGCCGCACGTCCTCAAGGCTCATTGAGTTGTGGCAGGTGCCAGGGCCTAGCTCCTTTTTTAAAAAAATAATTTTTATTGATTTCAGAAAGGAAGGGAGAGGGAGAGAGAGAAATATCCATGATGAGAGAGAATCATGGATCGGCTGCCTCCTGCACGCCCCACACTGGGGATCGAGCCCGCAACCTGGGCATGTGCCCTGACTGGGAATTAAATGGTGACCTTCTGGTTCATAGGTTGACGCTCAATCACTGAGCATGCCGGCCGGGCCTGACTCCTTTTTAAGGCAGAACAATATTCCATCGTGTGGCTAGGTCACCGTTCATACATTCTTCACTCAGTGGCATTTGGGCTGTTCCCACCTGTTGGCCCTAAGAATAATGCTGTTGGGAACATTCACCTACCAGGTTTTGGGTGGACGTATGTTTTCATTTCTTTTGGGTAAATGCCCAGGAATGCAAGAGCCGGGCATGTAATAACCACCTTGACCTGCTCGGGAACTGCCGACGGCCTCCCACAGCAGTTACCGGCCCACAGCCCACCGGCAGCCTCGCTCCGCGAGACACTGGTGATTACCGTGCCCTGGATCCCGCCATCCCGGCGGGCAGGGGTGTCTGTGGACTGACTGGCGTCTCCAACGACGACAATGTGCAGCGGCTTCCAGGCCCGTGTTGCCGTCTCTGTCTTCTCTGCAGAAACGTCTGTTCAGGTCTCTTGCCGTTTCTTTAGTTGTTTTTGTTAAGAGGCTGTAAGAGTTCTTTCTATATTCCGGAACCTGTGTGGTGTCCTTTCTAATTTTCAGGATGTCTAGTTTAGCACCTGTGTAAACATGTGTGTCTGTAGGTAGCGGTGCAGGTGCCATGTGTAGAGATGTGTGTCTGCAGGTAGCAGTGCAGGCGCCATGTGTAAACATGTGTGTCTGTAGGTAGTGGTGCAGGCGCCGTGTGTAAACGTGTGTGTCTGCAGGTAGCAGTGCAGGCGCCGTGTGTAAACATGTGTGTCTGTAGGTAGCGGTGCAGGTGCCATGTGTAGACATGTGTGTCTGCAGGTAGCAGTGCAGGCGCCGTGTGTAAACATGTGTGTCTGCAGGTAGCGGTGCAGGTGCCATGTGTAGACATGTGTGTCTGCAGGTAGCAGTGCAGGCGCCGTGTGTAAACATGTGTGTCTGTAGGTAGCGGTGCAGGTGCCATGTGTAGACATGTGTGTCTGCAGGTAGCAGTGCAGGCGCCATGTGTAAACATGTGTGTCTGTAGGTAGCGGTGCAGGTGCCATGTGTAGACATGTGTGTCTGCAGGTAGCAGTGCAGGCGCCATGTGTAAACATGTGTGTCTGTAGGTAGCGGTGCAGGTGCCATGTGTAGACATGTGTGTCTGCAGGTAGCAGTGCAGGCGCCATGTGTAAACATGTGTGTCTGTAGGTAGCGGTGCAGGTGCCATGTGTAGACATGTGTGTCTGCAGGTAGCAGTGCAGGCGCCGTGTGTAAACGTGTGTTCTGTAGGTAGCGGTGCAGGCGCCGTGTGTAAACGTGTGTTCTGTAGGTAGCGGTGCAGGCGCCGTGTGTAAACGTGTGTTCTGTAGGTAGTGGTGCAGGCACCTATGTGGCTGATGTTGGGTGTGGCGTCCCTGCCGAGTGCGTGGGCTGGCGGCCTTTCTGTGGCCTTGGGTCCATTTCTTCCCGCATGCTGACACGTGCTGACACGTGCTGGCGGCTGGCGGCCGCAGAGAGCATGTGGCTTCCCCCAGCGCCTGCCCCTCCTTCCCTCCTTTTCTTTCTGTCTCTGAGGCCACTCTGCTGGTTGTGACACTGCACACACACCACCCCCTCGAAGCTGTTTCCTCATCTCCATGTTATTGTCAGGACTTGGCGGCTGCTGCTCCGGATGTAGCGGGTGGCAGGGGCTGGTGGCTCTTCCTCCCATCAAGTCACTTGACCTTTCCGATCACAGGGCAGGTTTTGCTACCCACTCTCCTGCTCTCTCCTTCAAGGAGGAGGCGCTGGGACCAGAAGGGTTTACACAAACAAGGAGTGGGCTGCAGACCAGGGCTTGGGCCCAGCTCGTTCGCCAGCCCGGGCAGGCATTCCTGCTCTTCCCGCCAGCCCTGGCCCTGCACGTGGCACAGAGGCCCTAAATATTTCGATTTCTCTCCTATTTGCTGTGTTTATGGTGCACAGGGCGGGGTCCCCAGCCCAGCGTGTCCGGTCCACCTGGACTTACTGTTCTCTGCCGGCCAGGCCACGCACAGGGGCTGAGGCTGAGATTCTGCCGGGCGTCCTGTGCCCAGAGCCTCCCCACGGGCCATCTGCTCTCTTTCTTTTTGCAAAGAGTAGAAGTGTGTGTGCGCGTGCGTGTGTGTGTCTGTGTGTGTGTCTCGGAGATAAACCATCTGTGGCAGCTGTTTGGAGGCCCATTCCTTGGGCACAGATGCATAAGCGGCTGTAGAAACCTTGGGGGAAGGTGCTTCTAAATCAGAAATTGGAGCCCCTCCCTGCTCTGATCAGTGTGGCCGCCAGGCACCAGCGCACACAGCGAAGAGGAGGCGCAGGTCGGAGAGCAGGGCAGTGGGCAACGCTGTTCGCCGGGTCTGGTCCTGTGTTCACCGTGCGGGCGCTCGGGACTCAGGGGCAGGTGGACAGATGGTGGCACAAGTGAGAGCAGGACCTTGGGTGGGACAGAAGGTCTGGCTGCTCAG